TGGTTCTGTTAAAAATAAAGACAATTGTTCAGACGATATAAACCAACAGTTCCAGCTTGTATCAATGGAAAATCATATTAAATGCCAAAAAATATTAATAAATTGCTCATTGAAGGCATTTTCCCTTTAGAAATACCTCCTAAAAATGATTTTTAAAAAATAAACACAGAATACAGAAACATTTAGGTACACAGCAGACATCTAGCAAAATAAGGATAAATGGCAAGATTAACATTTAGATGTAGTTCTGTTAGATGACAACTCCTCTACTGTTACAATAATCTCATGAAAGGCCTTTCACTAAATCACTCACACTGATTCCTTTTCAATGCAATTTAAACTCATGTTAAATGAGCACAATTATATCTGCACTAAAATAAACATAAGTACTGTTTTTATGCTTGCCTACCATGTAAATCACGATCTAAAAAGATCACAGTTCTGTCTGTTACAGAATACTTAAACCTACACATTTAGAAGTTGGTAGGGGCTGCTCTATTTTTAATTGGATGAGTTGGTACCTGAAGTGCACAAATAAAAGTCAACTCTTTAACTTACAAGTGTTTATACTTCCCCTCACAGAAACTGTCTTAATATTTGTATAAAGCATAAAATTACAACACATATTGTTCTGTTTCAGTATGTAACACAAAATTATTAAAAGCAGCTGCATGAAAAAATATTGCAGCATTAAAGGGAAAAATGTGCTGTAAGGTTTATTGTCACAATCAGTTGTGATATGACAAGATTTCAACTGGTGCCTCCATCTTTCTTGTTTGTTCTAATTGTCTTTTATACAACAAGAGTCTTTTACTGTAGAGAGGTACAACTCTACAACTCTAGCACCTTTTGCACCAGGTATATAAAAGTGTACTTAGAAGACCAGAAGATAATTTTATCAAAGCAACAGTTTTTGGAACAGATGCATTCTTTCATGAAATGGGCCAGCGCAGTTTACCTAATGCAAACACTTTCCTTCTTGGAAATTCAGTCTATGTCCTTACTTATATACAGAAAAGAAGATGTGAACTGAAGAAATAGAAGCTTGAATTAAGGCATATGTAACTTACCAGGTTTGATCATCCTTTGAAATCAAAGGAGTGGCAAAAATACAAAATCAAGTTTAGGTCCATCTGAGGCCTGTTTCAGGACACATCCTTCACATCTTCAGAAAGAACACAATTACAGCCAGTGAAGGTACAGGAGAAGAGCTCTGCAACAACTGGGTCCATTTTTTTAAGATCTTGGAACAGTTTTGCTTGGGTTTGCTGAATACACGTTTGTGCACAGCAGAAGTAAGCCAGCAATAACCTGACAAAACTGCTCTGCCTTGTATCACCTTTTAGGTTGACAGTGCTGCTAAAGACTTACTCTATCCGAATCAATTCAGTTACAAAACTTTCAGGCTACTAGATCAGCTTGTCAGGGGTAGGGACAGCATACTCTCTTGTTCTACTTCCAACAGTGATGCCAGAATTTTCTATAAAACATTCAATTGTATAAAATAATCAAATTAATCAAATAAATGTATAAAACAATCAAATTAATTACAAATTGTAATTGCTTACTAAAGGAAGTAGTATACTTTTATTTAAAAACTCTTAACCCAGAAACACTGGATATACAATAAAACTTCAGCTAGAATGAACAGTGACAGACCTTTTACCATTTGATGGCTCCTAGGTGCCCGTTGTCTTTGGTAGCTTCACAGCAGCGAAGAGAGCATACTCACACATTTCAAAGGAACAATGTATCCAGAATAATTCTGCATTTTTGTTTACAAGCTAAGCAGTAAAGTAAATTACTAAGGAAACTTTGGGACTGAGCTACTATTTCCTTGCTAAAGCTGGTATCTCAAAGACTAAATTTGGGCAAAAACAAAGATCTAGACTGGCCATTTGTCTGCACAGATCACTTTTAGTGTTTGTCCTTCTGGCATTCATCACACCCAGTCCACATGTTAAAACCTTTATATCACTTCAAGGGATCCCAGCCAGTAAGAAAGAAGACCAAATGCAGCTGATCACTCTTGTTAGTCTGGCTAAGGACCAAATGCAGAAACATTTCTGCTGCATCTTTAGGTAAGGTTTACAAGATGAACTAGAACTGTATCAGCCTCAGCTTATGGTCTTTGAAAGTTAAATTAAGAAGCAATTCTCTGGTTCTAATATCTATCTACCTCTGTAGCACAGAATACAAGTGCTTTCTTATGAACATTGTTTGCACAAACCAATTAACATATGTAAACAAATAAAGAGAATTTATTTTTAAGGAAATCACTACCATAATAAAGTCAGAGCAGTCAATAATACAACTGTCCTTGCTAGGTAATGACACTGAACTCAAAATATCATGGAATTTAAAAATTTTTTTTTTTTACAGGAAGTAGAAAATTTCATTATAAAATTACTCCAAGGAACTGGAAAGATCAGGGCACATATATTCATTTTTTATAGAAATTCATTTTATTAGATAAACAGTATCAGATATGCATTGTTTCCAAAAAAACTGAATGTTACATGCATTCAGTAAGAACAGACATCAGCTCAGGTTGGCTGACAATTGGGATACTTATTCATAGGCCAATAGGTAAGGCAAGTTATCTAGTCTCCATCAGGTAACGTTAGAACATGGGAAAACAGAACAAACAGGAATTTAAAGAAATGCCATAAACAGATTTTACACTACTTTCTTAACAAATGCCTTGACTGACACATTTTTCAGATCAGACTCCCCATCCAGCCTTTCAGTCTTTTACTAAAATATATTTAACTGAAGTTTTTCTGGAAAATGCATTTAACAAAATGTGTTTAACAAAACTTGTCATTTACCAATTACACTCCAACAAACCTGGAGGGAACAGCACACATGCAGTTTTATTACTAAGCATAAAAGTCAATGTTCTCAAAACCAGGGTAGCTTATGTAAGGTAAGGCATCTTCACAGCTTGGCTCTCAAAAGAAGCAATTCCTTAACCGTAGTAACAAGCATCTATAAAGAAAAATCCTAAAAATAATTTCAGTATAGCCAGTGAGAAACAGACTAACCATGTAATGTTCAACAGAGAAGAAAACGTCTCACTTATATCAATATGTCTCTTCATTCCTCAATTGCCTATTAAAAAAATTTAGGCTATTGTATTTGTTACTGGAAAACTCATAGGAATAGTCTCGCTTGTTGGTGTCAATCTCAAGTATCAACAGTTTATTGTGGTTTTTGTTGTAGCCAGATTGTTTGGTTCTTAAAGCAAGGAAATTAGTGACCTAATTAGGTCAGTAGCTTGTTCCATACCAGCTATTTACCTTTTTAGTGCTTACATAAAGCACCAAACTGACTATAATATATTCCTTGGTTTCTTCCAACCATAAAATCTCAACACAGACTTTACCCTCTGAATCTGCATAGTCTGCAGTATACATATGACCCATGTAGTCATAAAGGCCGGATGACTTGGTAGACAATTCCATGTGGACTGGAGCACTAAAACACCAGAAAGGCTTTCCAGTTTCATCCAAGAGAGTCAGATCCATCACAAAGCAGTCCTATAAACACAAACAGAAGAGATTATTTCCCTATGTCATAGCACACTATGTACATCTGTACCTGATTTTAGAAGACTTATCAAGGGTTCAGAGTTTTGTATGAAGGCTAAAACCTCAAAATAAAATTGATAGTGCTTCCCTGACCTACTGCAACAAATACTTATTTAGAGGTTTCCTAGAGAAATCAAATTGCAACCTACACACATCAAATGCTGTGCTACAAAAGGTACCACTGCCAAACCAAATCACATTACTTCCTGAACCTTTTTAAGCCCTTAACATCTGTTTTTCTCAATTATTAGCTACTTTACCATTCAAATAATAATAGTCCCTTCAATATGAGAAAGCAACCTAAGTTTAAAGTCAGCTACTAAACTTGTGTGAATGCAGCAATGTTTGCAAAGATACCCAGGGACCACCCAAGGCAGTGCACACAAAATTACCCTTCCAAGCCAGCTGTATACAGTACTTTTTAGTACTTTTTTAAAAGCTCACAGCTTCAGTTCCCAAAAATGTAATATCAATAATCTTGATGTAATTACTCCTCTTACAAATTCTTGAAAATATTTCATTACAAGATTATACAACTAAATAATTTTAAAATGTTAATGCCAATTCCTTGGTCTTTGTAAACTGATGGTTCCACATATCCCTTGGAAGCATAGGAGCCATGTGTCATTGTTAGTATCAGCTGTTCCTTATTCTCATGAGTTCCAAATCACTAAATGAGTCAAATTATCTTAATTATGTTGTATCTGTGCTCCAAAAGCATAAACAAACCACCACCACATATTCCATGCAAAAAAAATTCATTTGGAATGCTTTATTTCTCTGTACTACATAGTTGTGCTTCTGTTGCCCTAGCATTATTTTCGCTATTACTTAACTTCAATCAAACAACAAAAGGGCAGATGGCACAAACATGAGGCAATATGATACACAGTTTCCCTAAGCTTTTTACTGTAGACTAAGTTGAAAATACAGAACTCAAAGCAAACCAAATGATGGTGTAATAAACTTATATGAGCTACAGGATCACTGGAAACAATAAAGAATTACTAATTCTGGTCTGTCAGCTTGCATATAGAAGGCCAATTATGAAAAGTAAAGTGGGGTGTTGTTGGGTGGTGGGGTCTCCCCATGCATTTCTGTCCTGCTTGGGGTCAGGATCAGGTTAATTTTTACAGTAGCCGGGAGGGAGCATGGCTAAGACATGGAGGCTGCTCTGTACCACCTCATCTCATTTCCAGGGGCAAGGAAAAGGCTTTCTTCTCCTTAGGGGTATTGTGCCATGGTCAGGTTGCACTCCATGGTGAGCATTTGCATGTGAATGACCCTGCTTTCTTGTACATTCTTGTTATTAATATTGTTGCTGCTACTCTCCATTTTCTTATCTCATTGCTGCTTCCAGTAAACTGCTCTTATCTCAGCTTTGATCTTTACCTTTTGTGCCTCCAGTTCTCCTTTCCAGCCCAACACAGGGGAGAAGAAAGGGAAAGCAAGCCAGTGGAGTGTGATTTGGAGTGGATACAGTGAGAATCCTAAATTGGAGAATACCATTCCAAAACCATGATAATTTTCAACTATCTGTACTTCAGCAACTAATTTTTTATTAAAAAACCCAGAAGTGCCAAGAAAGTTTTTTAGTTTTTTGGTTTTCCTTAAGAGTATTAAATAAAATTCAAATAAATTGAAAGAAATGGAATGTCCTACTTCTGTGACTGATGTTATCTGGCCTTCACATGCTTCAAGAATTTTAGAGACTTATGCTAAAAACCACACTGAATTCAACCCATAGCTACATGCTGACATGTTGCATCTGTCATCACAAAATGAGGAGTTAAGAAAAAAAATACTGTATTCTTTATTTTGTCCTAGAAACAAATATTCAACATAATATATGCTGTAAGCACGTAAGAGAAAGACTAAAACTGAAAAATCTAAAGACTACAGCCATAGCTCTCTGCTTCCTCTGACAGGTAACTTCCTAAATTCTTATGTACTACTCAGAATTTTTTTCATGAAAAAAAAAAAAGATTCTGCCAAGCAGCTGTTAATCCTATAGAATCATAGAATGATTTGGGTTAGAAGGAACCTTTATAAGTCATCTAATTCCAACTCCCCTTCCTCACCATGCTCAGTATGGAGAAAGAATCTTTAGCTTTTTTTTTTCCCCAACGTCCAGTTTACTTCTACCCTCTTTCACTTTAAAAACATTGTCCCTTGTTTTCTCACTACATGCCTTGGTAAAAAAACTCTCATCAAACAGTATTCCACTGCACATTTATACAGAATTGGCAGAAACAACAGTTTTATTCTTTTTTTTTTCAAAAGAAGTACCAAAATTGAAATCAAATGTTGAACTAGATGATTTTTCAGTAGTGCTTAAATAATAGTCAGAATTTTTACAACTTCTGAAACATTCATGCTGATAAAGTGCATTTAAAAATATGTGCCTACAGCACTATTGCAAAAGCTACAGAACTACTCTGAAACTTAGTTTGAAATAATTATTTTAGGATTTTTATCCAAGAGAATTCATGAGCATTCCTCTAAAAATAAAGAGTTCGTATAGCTGACTGATGCACCTGAGTGGATCTAGGTGCTGACTGTGTGGATGTGGACTGCAGTTTCCTGTGTCCACTGGCATTTTAACATTCCCTAGCAGTTCCTAACTTTCACTGCATATTCAGCACAGAACTGCAGACTATTTCCCCAGAGGTTCAAGGCTTATTGCTTGCAAAAAAAACCCCAACCAACCAAAAAAATTAAACCAAAAGAAACAAAAAAACGCAAAACAAAAATAACACTCTCACACCAAACAAAAAAAAAAAAAATCCCCCAAAAAAGTACATCTGCAGTACATTTTTTTTGTCCAGCATTTCCAAGCTGGCTGGTCAGTCACAGCATCTCTGCTGAGTGGAAAGCACTGGTGTAATTACACACAGATAATGGGACTATCATGCAATCCAGACTCTATGAGAGAAAGGAGAAAACCCTTTTCCTCAAAATTCACTTTTTTTTAAATATTGGAATAGAGGTTTTGTCCAGTTACAGCTTCTACAAATAAAAAAATTGTTTAAAAAATAGCATATTTAGGAAGCACAAACAATTCTGTTCTGAGGTAAGCACTTCCAGAAACAAAAAATATTTCTGACCTTTACATTGCCTTTAAACACATCTGTTTCCCAGCATATGCCAAGTGTCCCAATAACAGGCAAGTGCTTCCTATTATCCTTTAAGTTTACGACTCTGAGCCTCAGGTATCCATTTTCAATGTCACCTGAAAATATAAACAATATACAACATTACAGCAGCATAAATCAAATTCAGCCCAAGTACACTGTAAATGTTCTCTTATCTTCTTTCCATGTCTTTTTCTTCCCACTCACCAATAAGAAACCCTTGCATACACCAACAGCAAAATATCAGCTACTTTAGGGAGGAATTAAGTTGCAGTTTGGAGCTTTGATTCTGTAATTCACAGTAGAAACTGCAGATAAAAAAAATCTTTCAATTTTTTTAGTATAAAAACAGGAATGCCACCTAAAGAACATACACAAGGATACAAAGACTAAATTTCACATTCAGCATTTCAATTTTATGCTACCAGTGGCTCCATCACTTCCCATTCCCCAAAAGTCAAGCTCAACACTAACACACAAAATAAAATGATACCTCCCCAACCTTTTTTTTTCCAAGTTATTTAAATCTCTCAGCTCTGACTAGAAACTTAATTAACGCAATTCAAAGGGTATAACTATTCCTCCTTAGAAAGAATAATGCATGATTTAAATTGACATGCAGTATGATTTGATTTAAATCAAGTTGTTAAATGATGGATTTTTTCATTTTTAAGTAGCTTTCTCCAAGGCCCCTGGGGTTTTTTTGCCAGAATTACTATGATTTGTGATTTTTTTTATTACTACATATAACCATATTTGTTTGGAATCTCTCCCTCTCCTCTCAAAAGAGATTGATATTTTTTTACGTATTTTTTTCCCTTTACTATCAGAGAAGGAGAGTTAACCAAGGAATCCAACAGTCTAATTATTACTTGGAGTAGAGCATAGTGAACATGACTCCAAAGAAAAGTGAAAATAAAAGCATCACATCAAGACACAAGCAGATTTCTTGGTAGGACATCCCTTAAACAAGTTTCCTTGAACAAGAGCTACTCTCTCAAAAGAGCAAAACAAAAGCACTAGAGACCTCAGTACAAAAAAAGAAATTATCTAGCACTTGCAGATACAAAGGGAGGGAAGGATTCCCAGGAATATAATACTTGTCAGGATCCAGTAGCAGGTCCTGAATGGTAAGGTAGCAAGTGAAGGGGCTCATAGAGATTTAAGATGCAAGGCAGAATTGTTTTGCCTATAATTCTCCTTCAATCAAGTCCAAGTAGCAGCATGAGGCTACAGACAGAAGCAACAGCAGAAAGGCTGGCTGTGAGTTAAATGGCTGCATCCAGCATGCAGTGGCAGCAAAACCTCTGCTTGGTGGTTACTTGAAGCAGATAGTTGGAGACAGTGATGGAGAAAGAAAGTCCACACACAGAGGCCAAAAACTTCTCTGAACTGGTGCTAGAGCCAAACAACTCCCAAGATACAGCTGGCCACAAATCAATGCTGGAAAGGTATCACTCACCAGTGGGAAGTCCAAAGAATATTTATTCTGGAAAGAAGCAGCCCAGCACATGACAGAAAACAACAGCTGCAGATTTTTCAGTAAAGACACTGGAACAGGAGTGTGAATACAGTGAAACCAACATGAATATGCCCAGGAAATATTTTTTAGGAAATACTTTTTATGGTTGAAGGAAAATGCAATCCTCCAGACTGTGATACCCACTGTCCTTGCAGTGAAGTGCAAAAGAAATCAGTGAGGAAAATGTAAGCAGAATTCATTTCCAGGATCCAGCTCTAGGTACAAAAAGGCAAGTAGAAACTGGCACCTGTCCAAATGGTTCAGTTCCAAAACCTCAGTAAATCAAATTCAATGACAAAATTTTATTCAAGGTAAAAATATCTTATTTAAATAGTTGACTGACTAACCACTGAAAGTCCACATTTAAGTTGAGATTTTACACAAAAGGCTTGAAAACATCAGTCAACAAGCATTTTTTCCAAAAGGACTACTTGATTATCCACAATTCCAATCTGAATGGAAGTGGCCATTTCCCTTACTCATTCAAATCAAATGAAGTTTGAATGGAATAAAAATAGATTGAAAAAAGCATTCTGCTAATAAATTAATAAAGTCCAGGACATCTCTACAATTGCATGGCATTAATACACCATTGCTAGATAGATCATCTGGCTATGATGCGTTGCAGTTACTCCTTAACTTTAGCCAGAATGGAAATAGGCAACAGATCAGGACTCTGAAGGCTAATTATTCATGGGTTGGTTAATCCAGACTTTATATATGTTTTTTTTAATATAAAAGCTCCATTGCAGTCCTCACATTCAGGAGGAAGGAAAAGCCTGCCTAGAAACAAGCAAAAAACTGAAGACTAAGTACTGAAATCTCCCCTTCCTCACCTCAGTCAGATGAGAAAATGAAATTAAAGGGCAGGACAAGCCATGTTGAACACATGAAGAGAAACATAGAGGAAGCACTTTGGACAGGACTTTCTTCAGCCTGAGCCAGACTTTGTTTTGTTGTCCCCTTTAATATCTCTAGTCCTTGATTTACGCAAGGCATGCACAGCAGCAAAGCAGCAGAATAAGTTATAGTGAACAAATATTTCCAAATTCAGGTAATACCAACAAAGAGAACATATACCATGCAGATAAACCTCAGGGGAAAGAAACAAACAGACCAATAGTTCCAAACCACTTATTTTAGCTAAAAGCCAAAAAAATAAGGAAGTTTGGAAGTTTGTTGCAAGTTGTCATTTGATTGGTATCTTCAGAGGAAAAGCTGTGCTTAATACTAATTCTGGTGCCAACAACCAGCCTTACCACACTGAAATGGTTATTTAAACTTGCAAATCAATCTTCAAGGTCAAGCAAAACCTTTCAAATGCCTGATATGTAATTTTACAAACGAACCTTAAAAGTTCTCTAAATACACAAAAATCAACCTTTACGTTTTGCAAGCACAACACATCAGTTTACATCTACTAGAAATGACACTAAAAAGCTTAAACTACCATGTGGCTGCAAAGCTGTGCTTAAAAAGTTGAAAACCTAGGTAAATACATTTCAAAAATATTTATTAAGAAGCTAGATTCATGGCTTCTGGGAGTCATATGAAAAGACTGTCATAGCTTCCTGAAAACAAGGAAAGATTTCAAAATATTTTCAATTCAGTTACAAAGTATTTAACATATTCACCCTACAGTACCTGTCAATGACACCATATTATTAATCTTGTTTACATGAAAGGCAGCATAAAATAAAATGCTAAACCCCAACCAAAACAGTGGCAAAACAGCTAGCTACTGCAATGCAACTATAATAACACAAAAAAAAATCTGTAGCCATATACATTCCATCTGCTGGGTTTAAGTGTGACATAACCTTTTCTAATTTAAGAATTCTGCAAAACTAATTGAAAATGGAGTAGCAAAATGAAGCACAATATTAATAGATACTAACAAAAAGCAGACAAAAATTAATCTTGAACAAATAAATCAGTTATTCTGTAAAACACAACTGGGCATTCTCTGGTAACCTAGGAATGCCTAAA